TAAGTTTATCTTCCCATGCTCCACGTCCCTACTTCTTTTTAGTCCCTGCAAATCGGAACAAATGTGAAATCCACAACCTGTATCAAGGACCCAATAATTAGCATGTGATGAGTTATTAGATTGAATAGTATAAATACCTGCAAAGGAGGGCTTGATCTTGCCATCCTTTATGTCCTGCAAGTACTTGGGGCAGCTTCGTTTCCAGTTCCCTTTGTCATGACAATGGATGCAGTCAGCATCCTTCGGATTGGAGGAGGGATTAGCATAACCAGCCTTGGTCCCACTAGAAGAGGATCCATCAAGAGACTTTCCCTTGCGGCTCTTAGAGGGATCCTTCCTCTTCTTTCCCTTTCCATGTCCCATTGCCAGAACAGGGGCAGAAGTAGTAGTAGGAGTAGACACGACCGACTTGCCTTTAAGGTTGCTTTCTGCAGTCCTTAGAAGGCCTTGAAGCTTGCTGAGAGTGACCTCCTCCTTGTTCATATGATAAGTCATACGAAACTGATCATAAAAAGAAGGCAAATAGTGTAGAATTATATCTGTGGCCAACTCTTCATCAAAATTGACATTCAACTTAAGCAAGCGGTCCACAAATCTCTGCATCTTTTGCAAGTGGGCCGTGATGGGTTCACCATCCTTCATTTTGGTTGTGATCATGGAGGCAATGATCTCATACCTCTCCTGCCGAGCACTTTGATGGTATCTTTGTATCAAATCATGATACATTTCATAAGTATAGTAGTCCTCATAGGACTTCTGTAGCTCTGCAGTCATGGGTTCAATCATAAGACACAACACCTTTGTCGCATCCCTCTCATGAGTAGTGTGTTCAACGATTTTTTCAGGAGTAGCAGTGGCCACATCAATCTCCTTTAGCTCTTTATCAAGGACATATTCTTTGTCCTCATAACAAATAGCCATTTTGATGTTACGAATCCAGTCATTGAAATTTGAGCCATAAAAAATGACCCTCCCACATAGGTTCATGAGGGAGCAAGAGCCGGAAGGAATTGTTGTTGAAGTGTTGTTTTGGGATAGACATCTAAAAAAGAAGAAGAACAAAATTTAGATTAGATGAGAATCCTTAATATTACACCCAACATTAATATTAAGGCTAAGACCCAACACAATATTCTACAATTACGAAGAGGGATGCCGTAATCCAATTGTAAAATATTTGAAGGTAGGTAAATGACGATTTACCAATTTCCACCATGAAAAACAAAATAGTTTATTAAGTTTTAATTGGTTTGAAATTCCTAGATCTTTGAGATTCATTGAACTTTTCAATGACATGTTTAAATCTCGATTGTGCCCTTCAAGTTTGTGACTGGGATGCCGAGGATCACAAACAAGGTGTGAATAACCATGCAAATTAACTTGGTACACCCAATGTTACAAATCACCTAATCAATGTGCCGGTTAACAACACACGCTCCATTGATCTAGGATTAACACCAAGCTACTCTTCGCCACACATTGTCAGTCCCAGATTAGTGTGTCGGTTAACCACAAACGCTCCACTAACGACTTAACAAGGTGCAAAGTGTAATTTCATGGATTAGCACCATTTTCACATTTTTTCTAAAGTAACTAAGATTGGGAATTTAATAAAATTTTATTTACTTTATATTTATCATTATACTTTTAACGAGGGAGAATTAATGTCCTATCCTACCCGTTCGACTAACGACCCTCCACCAGTCAAGGAAGCGGTGGGTGAGAGTGGACACCCATTAAACCACAATTTTATAGGCAGTAACCTTATACCCCCCCCTCCTTATAGACCGATTTCATGAATGAGGCCTACTAACGGTAAGACTGACTAGTCTTATACATATATATATATATATATATATATATATATATTATTAAACTTATAATATTATAGTATAAGGGTTGAATTTTAACTTTTAAAACTTTAGGGTTTGGAATTAAAGTTTCAATGATTAGACTTTACAAATTCCAAAACTTGAGTGCAAGTTTTGAAACTTGTCAAAACTCTTCACATTCATAACTTATGAGTTTAATTTGATTTTAATGTATGAGACCTTTCATTTTCCATAACTTGAGGACAAGTTATGGAGGCCATTAAAAGAATTTAGATCATTTTTATAACACCTAAAATTATCATATAATTCAAGGATGATCTAACTAAACTCATAAACAAGATAAGCCAAGTCAACAATTTACAAGCAACTATGTTTATCATATAAAACAACAACTACTTAAAACTTTGACAATAATCTTGTGGCTGGATAAGTACAAGCACTACCATGTCATAAAAAACATTTCCAATGATCCAAAACAGTTTGTGGTAGTCTTCCAAATCCAAACCAGGCCAAGAAACTGGAAATTCTGCACATAGAGCCTTCAACTCGTCGAGTGCATGAACTGGACTCGGCGAGTTGCTCTATTACTGAGTGGACTCGTCGAGTTTGTTTATGGACTCGGTGAGTTCACCAGTCAGAGGCCAAAATTTCGACTTTTTCAGCTTTGAAAAACTAGTGAGCATCAAATATAATGGAAAACAAACTTGGCTCTGATACCACTGTTGGGTTTTGAGCACTATAACACTCCTATGGTGCACATGCAGCCCTAAATGCTTTGGATCCATGTTTTCTCTAATTATACATGCATTTTGTTTCTCCAAATCATTCACCCTAGCTAGCATATAACTGAAGCTATATAATATAAAACCTAGTTTGGATGCTTACCTCTTGAGTAGGGTAGAGTTCTTGACCTTTGAAAGCTTGAGTACTTCAAGTGTGATGCCTCTAATGGTTCACAAACACCAATATGCAAGAGGACACTTTAAGAGAATAAGATACTTGACTCCAAAGAGTGTGTCCCCGATTTTGGCTTATGGGGTCACTATTTATAATGTGGCAAATGCTAGGGTTACACTTTGTAAACCCTAATAACCCATGACTTTCCACATTCTCATGCTCCATGGGTTTAACCTCCATGGACTATCCAGGGATTAGGTTAGCTCATAATCGTGGATCATTGGCCCACATTTCAAGAACCATTGATTTACATAATCAATCCCCATATATTCAATTAGTCTCTTTTGATCACAAAATTAAATCCAAATTAATTCTTGATCAATACTAATTAAATAATACTAATATATTAGACTTGTAATATATTAATAAATCACAAATAACCTTATTCTGAAAAGTCCACCCTATCAAATTGCACTGGTGAAGGCAACCCAAAAGGACCATGCTACTATCGGGTCAAGTACATCCCACTTATAGTTATGGGATTAGACACCAAATCCAACAGTGATAACATGAAGATATTATGTAATTTCTGGTGTAAGATCCCAATCTTTGATAACATGAAAATGTTATAAACCTTAAGTAATCACTGGGGTAGGATCCCAATTTCTGGATGACATGAAAATGTTATAAACCTTAAGTAATCACTGGGGTATGATCCCTGTTTCTGGATAACATGAAAATGTTATAAACCTTAAGGATCTCAACTTGTGTTCAAAGATAAGAGGGTTGCCAAGCCACTGAATCATGAAATGATCCCTTTACCCGTATCCCAAAGTTAGATATCATCCGTCCAGGCGAGGTGTGTAAACCTTAGTTTGTGTGAAAGAGGTAATTAGCTCTTTAAACCTTAGAGGGGATTAAGTACCCTTAAGCGTGGGAGAGATGACCAGTCTCTAGCTTATGTACATGATAATTTAGAGATTACATTGTTAAATATAATGGATTTCACCAAGTATTGAGATCTTCATTTGTCAAGATCCTGGTGTTTCAGGGTGTTCAAACTTGAGGATCCTGATGTTCCAGGATCTTCGATTGTGAGGATCCTGATGCTTAAGGATATTCAATCTTAAGGATCCGTATGTCGTTCTGCATAGCAAACGTTAACTAGGGGTGGGCGTTAGTCTAGCTAACGCCCCTCCGATGCTTAAGTTAGTAACGTATTCAAGGAGAAAATCAGTGATAAAATTTTTAAGGTAAAGAACACGTGTACCTTGGTTTTGTTGCGGATCATTCGACCCTACTTACATGTAGTATGCTTTGAGGTGTATAGCATTCCAGGATCTTGGTAGAACGTCTCCTTCGAATGTTGCTAGCAAATATGCTCCTTTTACTGCTTCAGCATCTATAAGATATGGTCTTTCCCATTTAGGAGCCCATTTTCCTGCACTGGGATCCTTGCTGTTTTGGAATATTTTCCTTAATACCAAGTCTTCTATTTGAAACCTTCTAACTCTTATGTTCCTATCGTAGGCTTTGGTGATCCTTTGCTGATGAGCTGCAATGCGTATTTTGGCAAGATCCCTAAGCTTGTCAATAGTGTCAAGATCCTGTGCTGAACGAAAGCTTCAGCTTCGATCTATTTGGAGAAGTAATAAGTCATCACGAGCATGAAAACTTTCCTCCTGGGGCCACTGGTAATTTCCCTACTATATCCATTCCCCATTTCATGAATGGCCATGGGGAGATAATAGGATGTGTAAGTCCCTGAAATCGGATCTATCAATGTATCAATGCAATTGTTTGATTTAATGCGGAATCTTAATCAAAAAATGATACAAAACAATCGATAATATATATCAAGAACACGTTTCAAATGAATGCACACAATTCTATTAAATAATTGTCAACTACATTCAATCACCCTTCAGCCGTGAATAAATCTTGTTCACTCAAAAAACACATCCTCTTAAAACGGCTATACACATAATATATATATATATATATATATATATATATATATATATATATATATATATATATATATATATATATATATATATATATATATATATGTATATATACTAAACCGATTAACCTAAAGCCCATACATAATAAGCCCACCGAAAACACGCTAAGCCCACCGAAATCACTAGGTGATTTCGGTCCAAAACCGAGAACCATATAAAACATTCAAAACAAAGCATAACCCACTAAATATAGCCCAACAATCTCCCTCGTGTTTTATTGCTTTATGTTCTGTTCAAGGTTTCTCTACGAGATGCACATCTGCTTAGTCAAAAGCGCTTCCCACAGCTTCTTGTCAATTATTGTAGCTACCATTCTAGTGAAGGCTTTTGTGGCAGCTTCAAATAGTTCATTCTCAGCAATTATTTGAAAGTTTAACAAAGGGCGGATATCACGTTCTCCAAACTTCAATAAATCTTTGGGATCAACAATACGAAATTGGTTTTTCTTCAGCTTGATCACCACAGTTGTAGTAGCCTCATCATAAACCCAGAATTGTATTTTATCCAAAGTGCCTTCAGGTAAGCGTTTAGGAAGTGGAATCCTTTTGGCTTGCTTTGTGGGTGGCCACATGACATTCACCATGGTTTTGTTTGTGCGAGGATCAATGACATCTTTGGCCTTCTTAGTAAATGATGAAGCAATCTTTAAGCCTTCAAAGTTATTTTTCGCTTTAATCTCAAGAAAATTCGTAAAAGACCAGACCATGGTATCATTGGTTGGATTGTGGAAAGGTGTGTGGATGAGTTCAGAAAGATCAACTTTTGTCAACGACAAGAAGTCAACTTTCTTCTCATAATATTCAATTCTTCTACTTTTCCGCTTCGCCACCTACAACCTTTTATCAGCATCATATCCTTACATGGTGATTTTGACATCCCCAAATTTCTCGGCCAGAAAAGACCGAATTAATTTATGCATTTCAAATAAAATCAGAGTAATATTTTAAAAGATGTTGCGGAATTTGTCCCCAAAACAAAACATGATAAAAATTTATCAAAACATCTAAAGAAATATATATTTTCATTATATATCAAAACCTCAGGATGTCATGTTCCGATACAGACCAAAAGCATAAACAACATAATATAGACCTTACAACAGATATATACATCTAATGGTCTATAATTCAAAAATCTTTCTTCATCATCCAAACTATGCTCTGGGTCCACTACCTGTAATATAAAAAGCTGAGTGGGTCAGGCTTGGGAGCCTGGTGAGCATATAGAGTTTTCAACCCACAAATAATAAATTTATTAAATTCATCAACAAAAATAAATTTATTAATTTCATCACCCAACAACAAATTTATCAATACAAAATAAATTTATTAATTTTATCAACCAACAATAACCCTGATTACACATTCCCGTTATCCTCACTTTACGTCCCGAAACACCTATCACAAGGGACCTAGCCTAAGGATCATCATCGGGATGGACACTACTGCTAAGGGGATTCCTCAGCCATACATATCCTTAAGGCAACCATGAAGGGGATGGAGTACACCAACGAACATATAATTCACCAACACCTACAGGTTGCGAGCCTGCTAGCGTTCCACTGGACTGTCTAGAAAAGTCCGTGGTCGTCATCTATACTCCGCTAGATGACTACAACAAGAACAACAACAACATCGAGGCCTCTCATCATTTTAAAACACATCAACTATTTCATCTACCCATGTTATACCCACCATATTTGTAGATAAAAATACATATACAGTTTATATCATTTTAAAACTTGTATAAATCATTCATTCAACACCCATCTCAAATAAACAAACAATATATATATATATATATAATATATTATATATATATATATATATATATATATATATATATATACACATAACACATATTTTATAGAAAATACTTCATATCTATGTGTAAGATGAAAGTGACTACACACTCACTTGTTAAGACGATAATTGGGCAGCACCTCGTCTATTAAAATAATCTTTTCTGATGAAACCGGGGTGTTTTTCTCAAAAAACGGGCTTCACGTGTGTAGAGTTTCGGCTCGAAAAACTATTTTTCTCGGGAACTTCGGAGCGTCGGGACTTGGTTCAGGTGTCGGGATTGATACTAGGACTCCGGGGGTATTTCTTGCAAAGTAGAAGAGAGTTTAGGGGTGTAAAGGTGTAAAGAAGTAAACAAAATATGGCTGCCTTCGCATCCCTTATATAGGGTCCGAAGCAACTTACTACGCGGGGCGTAGTCTCGTTGTACGCGGGGCGTACGAGGCTACGTGTCCGATTCTCGGAAGGGAGGGCACGTGGCTCGGACGTGTCCGTTACGTGTCCAACATGCGAAGATCCGGAGAAGTGGTCAATTTGAAGCCCTTCCATGTGAACGCTGGGCGTAACTTCCGTATGCTGGGCGTACCCTTCGGACCAGCCTCGAAGTTTGTACCATAAAATTCAAAAATTCGTATCTTTTGCATACGAACTCCATTTTTGACGTTCTTTATATCCATGCGTAGGTGAAATTATACTCTACAACTTTCGTTTAGACTTTGTCGGCTAATTTTGACTTCATTTTTAAAGTTATATTTTTAACAGGTCGGGACAGGAAAAGTCCGTTAAAAATTCATAACTTCTTCATTCGACGTCCGTTTTCGTCTGTCTTTTACCGTTGAACTACAATCGACAAGATCTTCGATTCTCGTTTAGATTGTTTTGGCTAAAAATCACTCGATCTAAAATTCGAGTTTTTAGCTGTCTACTGCTAAGCTGAAACTTAGAAAAATCATAACTTCCTCATACGAAGTTAGATTTGGACGTTCTTTTTATGCACACTCTCGGTTTAACGAACACTACGACTTTCGTTTAGATTTCTAAGGCTAAAAAGCACTTTACCGAAAATTCACTTTTTACGTCACACAACGTTATGCCGGTTCTATCGCGAAACTTCGACATGTCATAGCTTCTTCGTTATAACTTGGATTTCGGTATTTTTTATATCTCCGGAATCCTTGTTTCAACCACTACAGCTTCAATCTTAGATATCGGGATTATCTAATATTTATTTTTGACACTTATTTTTATCTTTAACTTATTAAATCATAATAGTTAAGCAAATAAGCACATAATTCACATAATATTCACATAATTCCTCTTTATTATTTTAAAACGAGATACAAAGGTTGACCTAGACTATTACATTATCTTTAATGCTTAGCCCAGAAACACGGGAGTTACAATTTTCTCCCCCTTAGGATGATTCCATCCCCAGAATCACACATCAGCAAACAAATGCGGATAGCGACTCATCATGTCATTCTCCGTTTTCCAGGTGAGATATGGCCCATTCGTATGTTTCCAACGCACAAGCACTAAATCGACCATCTTGCGTCGCAACTTCTTAGTCTTATGGTGAATGATTGCCTCTGGTTCTTCTATTAGCCTCTTTCTTTCATCCAACCTTAATTCAGAAATTGGAATTATGTCGGGAACTTCTCCCATGAATTTCCTCAGATAACACACATGGAAAGTGTTATGAATACCATTTAGTTCTTTTGGTAGTTCTAGCTTGTAAGCATGGTTCCCAATCCTCTGAAGAACTTTAAACGGTCCAATAAACCCTAGACTCAACTTTCCCCTTTTACCAAATCTTATAAGTCCCTTCCACGGTGAGACTTTAAGTAAAACCGAATCACCAACTTCGAATGTTATCGGTTTTCTTTTCTTGTCAGCATAGCTCTTTTGACGATCCTAAGCTGCTAACATCCTTTCTCTAATCACTTTCAACTTTTTAGCAGTCTGATGGACTATCTCAGGTCCCATAAACTGCTTTTCTCCAGCTTCAAGCCAACATGATGGCGTTCGACACTTTTGTCCATACAAAGCTTGATAAGGTGCCATCTTAATGCTCGAGTGGAAACTATTATTATAGGAAAATTCTACCAAAGGTAAATGTTCATCCCAATTACCTTGGAATTCTAGGGTACATGCTCTCAGCATATCCTCCAATGTTTGAATCGTTCGTTCGCTCTGACCATCGGTTTGCAGATGGTAAGCTGTACTTAGACATAATTTCGTACCCAGTTCATCTTGCAGACTTCTCCAAAATCTTGACGTGAAACGACTATCGCGATCTGACACAATCGTCAGGGGAACATCGTGAAGTCTCACTATCTCCTTTACGTAAGCATTTGCAAGCTTATCCATAGACCACTTCTCATTGGCTGCTATGAAATGTGCACTTTTTGTAAATTGATCAACGACTACCCAAATCATGTCGTGACCGCTTTTCGTTCTGGGCAGTTTAGTCACAAAATCCATGGTCATGTCTTCCCATTTACCCATGGGTATAGGTAAAGGTTCTAAACTCCCATACGGTTTCTGATGTTGTGCCTTAACCCTCGCACATGTCACACACTCGGCCACATACTTAGCAACATTGAGCTTCATTGTCGGCCACCAGTAATAGGGTTTCAGATCCCAATACATTTTCATGCTGTCGGGGTGAATTGAGTACATGGTCTTGTGAGCTTCCTCCATCAAAAGATCTCTTATCCTCCCATCTTAGGTACCCAAATCCTATCTTGGAATACCTTTAGTCCTTGACCGTTTGTATCGAACACTAACGTGTTGCCCAAACGTTCTTCTTTTCGGTCATTTTTCTCTGAAGCTTCCTCTTGAGCTTTCTTTACACTTTCCACAATTGTCGAGACAACTTCAATTCTTAACGCTCTTGGCCTTTTCTTTTCAAGGTTTACCTTCCGACTGAGAGCATCAGCGACAACATTTTCTTTACCAGGGTGGTAAAGTATCTCACAGTCGTAATCCTTGAGCAACTCTAGCCAGCGTCGTTGCCTCATATTTAATTCCCTCTGATTAAAGAGATACTGAAGACTCTTATGAATAGTGAAAAGTTTACATTTTGTTCCATAAAGATAATGCCTCCATATCTTTAGGGCAAATACTACCGCTTCCAACTCCAAATCATGAGTGGGGTAGTTCTTTTCTCGCTCTTTTAATTGTCTCGATGCATATTCTATCACCTTATCCTTTTGGGTCAGAACACAACCTAACCCAACTCCAGATGCATCGATATAAACTGCGAAGTCTTCAATTCCTTTGGGCAAAGAAAGAATCGGTGATTCACATAATATCTTCTTTAATTTCTCAAAGGCTTCCTTATGCTTTTCACTCCAAGTATAAGTAGCTCTTTGTGGGTCAAAGTTGTCAATGAAGCAGCTATCGAAGAAAAGCCTTGGATAAACCTTCGGTAATATCCAGCTAATCCTAGAAAGCTTCGGATCTCTTTGGTTGTTCCCACTTTGTTACAGCTTCAATCTTAGCTGGGTCAACCATAATCCCTTGGTTAACCACATGACCCAAAAATTGGACTTCTTGAATTCGAAAATGACATTTGGAGAACTTTGCATATAGCTTCTCCTTTTTTAGAACTTCTAGCACTTCACGCAGATGCTTGACATGCTCCTGCTTACTTTTTGAATAAATCAAAATATCATCTATGAACACTATCACGGATTTATCGAGGAATGGTTTACAAAACCTGTTCATCAAATCCATGAAGGTTGCTGGAGCATTGGTTAGTCCAAAGGACATAACCAAAAACTCGTAGTGTCCATATCTTGTTCTGAATGCAGTCTTCTCAATATCCTGCTCTCTTACCTTTAGCTGATGATATCCTGACCTAAGATCGATCTTCGAGAAATAACTCGAACCTTGCAAC